CGCTTCCGCCGTGCTGCAGGGAGGTCAGCGAGGTGGAGCAGGCTGCGTTTGGGGTCTCTTCCTCTTTAGCTGGGCGTTAATGCCAAAACGAGCCCACACTGCAAGCTTTAGCAGCCCGGCCTTCCCTCTTTACCTCATGCTGCTGGGTGCCAGGAGAGCGGCAGATGTCACTGATGCTTTATTTTAAACCTCAAAGCCAAGATTTTTCCTTTCCCTCCCCAGATACTCCCTTGCCCTTCGGTCGCTCCAGGTGCTTGCTCCAGAAATTACCCAAATAAGCAGCGGGGCAGCTGGCCTGCAGACTAAGCTGAGGGCATGACAGGGCAGCAGCAGCAAACAGGGCGGTGGGGAGACAGATGGCGACTCTGGTGGAAGCAGCAATGGGGGATTAAAAGCAGGAACATCCAAGAGCTGGTGCTTTAGGGAATTAGTGTCCTCGGATGACTTCAAAGGGGATTTTAATCCTCAGAAGCCTGCTCTGCTTTACCTCAGTGGAGGGGCATGTTCCTGACACACCAGTGGGGTACGCAGCAGCTTTCCATACTGTGAAAGAGAGACTCATCTATCTGCTTGCTTGAGAGAGGATGGACAGACAGACACGCTCCAGGCTGGGCAGCAGCTGCTGCTCTCTCCGCTGCAGAGCAGACATGGGCTTCCCTCTCTGGCTTCAGCTCAGCAGCAGCGAACGCTGCCGCAGCCCCCGGCAGCCAGGTTCAGAGGCAGAACGTCCGCGTCCTACCTCGGCTCCCCAGGGGTCAGCATCAGAGAATTCTTCCGTAAGCCATAGCCAGCCCATGGGTAAACGAAACCCTGTGAATCCTGCCAGCGTTCGGTCCTTTCTAGCAAACAGAATCCTCGCGAGGCTCGCTGGTTCTGCTCACAGTTCTCAGCTGCGCGCCCTCCGGGACTGGCGCTGGCGTCCTCTCCAGGAGAGCTGACCCCCACTGCCTTCCCTGCACATCAAACGGGCATTTTGGTGGGGTGTTAGGGGCAGCAGCTGGGTGAGCAAGAGATAATCCCAGCACTTCTTCAAGAGGCAACAATGACATTTCTTAACTGAATGTAAGACAAATGCTGTGAAGAGTTACGCGGGCCGGCGGCAGGCCCGGTAACTTCAATCAACTCCTAGACTAGCGGTAGGACACCGGGGTGGGTTTCTGGAGTAAGGGAAGATGGTACTTGCAGACACTTGAGATCCATGTCCGCTGCTGGTGATTACAGACAATGGTTCATTTTTCATCCTCTGATCACTGTGCTTTCTGTATTTCAGGGGCCTGTTCCAGCGAGCGCTGTGCGCAGGCTCCCTGAAAGCGTACTGAAGCCATTTATCTGTCGTACGGTGAACATTTCCAATAAAAACTTGTTTTAATCTTTGTGGCGGTCAGAGCTGTTCGAAGAAACCAAAGCCTTGGCTGGGGAGGGGGGGGCTGGAGCGAGGTGGGGGTCCAGCGCAGCCCCGCAGGGACCAGGCATCCCACCCGACCTCGGCAGCTTGGCCCCGCGGGGGATGAGGGGTCGCAGTGGGATCCACGCCGGAGGAAGAAGAGCTGCAGAGCCTTCAGAGCCAGGAGCTGGAGGCAAGGCCCCAGCCCAGGAGCCAGCTGCGGGCGCCTAAAAAAAAAAGAAGAGCTGCAGAGCCTTCAGAGCCAGGAGCTGGAGGCAAGGCCCCAGCCCAGGAGCCAGCTGCGGGTGCCTCCGCAATGTGGTTTTTAGAGGCTTTTTGCTACCGGAGGTGAGCGCTTGGCAGTGGCTGGAGCAACAGACGGGCTCAGGAAGACGAGCTGGGTCGGACTGATGCTGCAGAGGCTTCCAATGTCTAAAAACCTCTCTCCAGCCTTCCCACGCTCCACGAGCTCTGCAAGCGTCTCGTTTCATAAGAATCCTACCATGAATTACCTTCGAAAGCGTGACAGCCCTCACTTCCAAAGTTTAAATATACTGCCTGGCTGATTGCAGTTCCGTTATACTGGTGCAGCTACTGGCTAAAAGGGGAGATGGGAAGTGGCCCGAGGGGGGGCTGTAATGGGAGCAGGATGCGGAACCCCGAGAGCGTGACGTGACCGTCCTCAGCTCTGCCAGAGCGAAAGGCGCTGCCCAGAGCAGGACGGGGGGCCTGTCCCTGCCTGCGCCGACGGCGGGTAAAGCTGCGGCCCCGACACCTCGCTTCCGTGGTGGGCGCCGAGGGCCATCCCCTGCTGAAGCAGTGAAACTCCACAACAGCACGGTGTATTAAAATACATACACTTTAATATAAAGACAAAACTTCAAAGCATTGTTTCAATTACAAATCAAGGTAAAGACACAAGAAATTAAGTGGAGGGAAGGGAGAAAAACCTAACTCTTACATTGTGGAGAATTAGAAAGGCAGGGTGGAAATATATATATTATACATACATATATACACACCAGAAGAATTCAGACTGCTTCTACGGGAGAATGAAAGGAATGACAGGTATCAAAAAAAAAAAAAACCCAACAACAAAAAAAAAAGATAAATTAGGGGAAGTTTGAATTTTAAATAATTCAGTTTAATAAACTAAATTATATAAACTAATTCCTATTCACTAGGAAACATCCCATATCACTGTTCTAAGAAAATGGGTTTTTTAAAAAATCCATTGAAAAATGGATTTTTATTAGTAGTTAAAAGTTTACTAATCAATTCCTGAGCAACAGCAACCTCATAACCTACCGCTTTCCCCATCAAAGTCCCACTCAGCGAGGGCAGGCTCTCACTCTGAAAAAGTTGAACAGAGACCTAAAAAGTTGGTTTTTAATTTGAAATTGATCACTTAAAAGATTAATAGGTTAAAAAAGCCAAGCAGGATGGATCAACCCATTCCACCTTCTCCTCATTAACTCCAGAAACGAGACCTTTCTAAAGAACGATTTGACTGCGCCAGAAAAGCAATCAGATGTACCTTGAAAAAACCAAAGGATCACAAACTTGGGAACTTCAGGGTTAGCATCACAAAACTTTGAATTTTAAGATGTGATTTTGTTTTTAAACTATAAAAAAAACCTTATGAAACCTCTTCAGAAAGAGGGTCGCAAAAAGCAAGAATACTGGAGAAGTATTTCCCATTTTTTTGTCTCGGGTTTAAACCCTGAAGTTCACAGTAAGAGCATCTTTTATTGCAATATTCAGTATATGTAGATATTTATATATTTATAATGCATAAGGATAAATAAAATATGGCACAACAAAATTTTTTAAAACTGGTAATCCATCTTTTAGTGAAAACCTGATATGTCCGAGGAAACATTGGAGCAAAAAAAGGAGGAAAAAACTTTTAACAGCCATGAAACTTCAAATACTCGTACACTGACGACATACCTGTGCTTCTAAAAAACCCAATTCTTGTGATTTTTTCCTCAGTGCTGCAAAGATAGTTCACAAAAACACTGTCTAGTTTCTTCTCCCCAAACTGTGATTTTAAAACACGTCTGTTGGTTTGCAGACCACT